CCAACTCCTTATAAGAGGTCATGTACAGTGGCAGGAAGTAGCGCCTCCTTTGGGCCATATAGCCCAAGGTCATGGGCGGAGCAAATGCCACTACATTTCCCCTTTTGTCTAAATAAGAAACCGAGCATTCATAATTAATAATGTCTCCATGTCATGTTTTGGGGGCTGGATGGTGTGACAGAAAAATCCACCTGCAGCTGTGTTTTCTTCCCGCAGAGGTCTGGCTGAGTGGTGATCTCCTTTTCCGCTTCACTTCCTTTGCCTTAAATCTGGTTATCCTGGGATCACACAATCCCCAAGGAAGGATGAGCACAGAAACTTACTCTGGCCTATGTTTAGTAAGAAAGTCAATACAAAGTTCCTAGAGTGAGATTTTTGGGTATCGTGGGCATCTGTTTGAAAACAGGTATGAGGAATGATCACGGCTCCTCACAGTGGTTTCAAGTTACTAATTCTTTCACCCTTGGTTAAATAGACCACAGTGCAGCTCTACCATGTTTGATCAGTGAATCTCTAGGCAAGAAGTCATTGCCTCACCCCTGAAAGGGAACTATTAAAGTGCAGGGTAGCTGTTTTGAGATATTTGACAGGCTCAGGGCATCTGAGGACCAATTCAAGTCATGCTCTGAAAGCCAGCACCCTCCATGGTGAATCAGAATGAATGAAGACCTTCATATCCTGCTGGGCTCAAAGTTGTCTCAGTGTGTGATCACAAGCATGGCAGGGCTGTAAATACAAGTAAATGTGGGCCACACATGCTGGTACACACCTGTTACACATTTAGAGGACGGACACAGGAAGATCTCAAGTTTGAGGACAGCCCAGGCTATGTATATGGAGAGAAGCTGTCTGAGAGAGAGAGAGAGAGAGAGAGAGAGAGAGAGAGAGAGAGAGAGAGAGAGAGAGAAGAGGAGAGGAGAGGAGAGGAGAAGAAGGAAGGTGGAAAACTGGATGTGCAACTTCAGTAGGTCTCCTATGTCAAAGCCAGTATCTGATAGGAAGAGGGGAAAATAAAAATGTGATTTGGGGACATTCGTATAGAGGAGCCTAGATCCCTCTGACTGGCAGAATCAGATGGTTTCCCCTCATGAGGGCTGAAGAAGCATCCCTTGCTTGGGAATGTACAATCTCACTGGAAGCAGCCATCTTCCAGAACGACACTTTGTTCTTCAGGGTCCCTCAAAGCCCACCGGAATGTGCCCTGGATATACACAGATTCAGGGTAAGCACACTTCCACAAGTGTATTTCCACAAGGTGTGCAGGCCCCACTGGGAAAGGAATGGACACGGGCTGAAAGCAGTGCTGAAGAGGGAAATGTACTGCCTCGAGCTGTTGGACGCCCGTGGGGCTGGACCTGAGGGTTATGACACAGCCAGAAGCAGATGCTGGGTCTGAGCGTGGCTTGATAGATGCTAATTTGTGACTCTGGATTTAGTAGTCTTGCAGAGACACTTGAAGCTGGTCCAGGAATGTTACTCAGTGGCTTCTTCACTGACCACAGTGGCCTAAAGGAAAGACAGTGTGTGTGACAGTGTGACGTGTGTGTACGTGTGCAGAGGCCAGAGGACAGCAGGTGTCCTACTCTACTAATTCTCCACCTGATGCTCTTGAGCCTGGGTCTGCCACTGAACTTGGAGCTAGAATGGCATCTAGCACACCTTGGTGATCTTCTTGCCTCTGTGCCTGCACAGTTTTGGTATTGCAGGCGTATGCGCAGCCAGGTTTTTTATAAGGTGCTGTGGATTTGAACTCAGGACCTCATGCTTGCATACCAAATGCTCTTACCTACTGATCCTCTAGAGCCTCTCTGGAGCCTTGGGGTATTGACACATTTTGGACAGAGCTTTGAGAAAGGGTCAGCAGTCTCAATGAAGTAGGTGTGAGGAATGGATTCAGTTTTTAAGGCTTGCTACCTGATTATACTTCTCAGAAGGACTTCATTCGCATGGCCAAAAGGATGCCATGGGAAACAGAATAAAGTCAAGTAGGTTACCTTTAAGAAGCCCAGTGGTGGCTGTCCTCTGTAAGACACCCTGGAGTTCACAGTGGGAGTTGCAGCTACGGAACCATGGCTCTTGCATTCACGGTGGTAAAGGAATATGAACTGTCAAGGGCCAGTCTTCAACCATCCAAGGAAAAGCAGACCTAGTTCTCACTATTAGCAGCAAAGCCCCAGGATGAATGAGGGGGCCTGGGTCTCGAACCACCCAGCAATGGAAAATAGAAGTTGGTGCTTGCCTTTGGTAACTAAAAATCGAGCTGTTCAACAGAGGACTGACTTCCATCTTAGAAGGCTGACTGACTCCGTTAAGAAGTTTCCAGACTGAAGTCAGTTTAAAAACCCAGACCTACTGATCTTGGATCCTTTAGAGGAAGGGCTCTACATTATTAGTACATACTGTAACTGTTCCTCTCAATCATCTCCTCAAGGGAGAAAGCAAATTCCTAGCTAACTGGACACTCGGGAAAGAGCGAGGCTTCGAGTTTTCAAAGACTGTCATCTACAGTGCATGAGAAGACATGGAGAGCAGGAGACTGGAAACACCACCACAGCCCCGGCACCAGGAGACAGACTTATGGAGACAAGTGTTTACTGGCATGTTCAGGGACTTGAGGGACCCACTTGCAATAACTTCTCTGGTTCTCAGGTGTATGATGGAGACAGTAATGTTCTGCTCCTGGCAGTAGACTTGACTGGGTTGCCTGCCCTGTGGAGTCAGAGTAGTGAAGGGCAGTAAAACGGGCAGTTTCCAGACTCATCACAGCTGCCATTTGGAACAGGTAGGATTTGCCGTGGGCTTTCCTGGGTGTTGTATGTTTAACGGATCCTTCACCTTCACCCACTAATGCCAGCGACATCTTCTGATTATGACACAAAGTTTGATTCTAGACACTGCCATGTCACTTACAAGGGCAAAATCCATGTCGACTGAGAGCCACCAGCCTTGTATGAACTCCTGAAACTGCCCTGGCTGTCAGCAATTGCGAGAGTGATAACACAAGCCTTGAAGAATCACGAGGATTAACACTGTCATCAAAGCTGAAGAGGTTCCGGTCACGGTCTCTTCCGGTCTAACCTTGAAAATCCGCTGGATCACAGAGTATGACAATGAACCGCTTGTTGCTGTTCTACGCGGGGAGTCACCCTCTCAGAGCTCCCGAGTCAATGTGCATTACTGCAGCTAACGAGCTGTAACAGATGGAGAGTGAGTGGCTTGGAAAGCTTCTCTTCTCAATGGCTATTATCAGAGAAGAAAAGAAGCCTTTTGTCTTGATATGGCCGTCAGAAATTGTGTAGGGCCCAAAGTTCTGCCACATTTGCAAGCTAGCCACTCACTCTGCCATGGTTTCATGGATGGTGGTGAAGGATGTAAGACTCCTGAGTTAAACACAAAGGGCTTTATCACTGTCAGGTGAGTAGTAGTGACAGCTCCATGTTCACTTGGAGTGGTTCCCTACACTTATTGTCTTAATTAGGGTGACTATTGCTGTGATGAAACATCATGACCAAAAGGAACTCAGGAAGGAAAAGGTTTATTCTGCTTATACTTCCACAGCACTGTTCATCACTGAAGGAAGTCAGGACAGGAATTCAAGCAGGGCAGGAACTCGAAGGCAGGAGCTGATGCAGAGACCACGGAGGGGTGCTGCTTACTGGCTTGCTTCTCATGACTTGCTCAGCCTGCCTTCTTATAGAACCCAGGAACACCAGCCCAGGGATGGCACCACCCACAGTGGGCTGGGTCCTCTCCCATCAATCATTAATTGAGAAAAAGCCTTACAAGCATGCCTGCAACTGGATCTTATGGAGGCATTTTCTTAACTGAGGTTCCTTCCTCTCAGATGACTTTAGCTTGTGTCAAGTTGACATAAAACTATCCAGCACACCTACCAAATCCCACAGAGAGAAAGGAGGACAATGTCATAGACAGGCCAAGAATATTCCCACTCACTCAGTGGTTTGCATGCTAGAGAGGAACTCTGAACTTGGGAAACTTACAGCTTTTGTTCTAAGTGGT